CTTCCTTCCTTCCTTCCTTCCTTCCTTCCTTCCTTCCTTCCTTCCTTCCTTCCTCCTTTCCTGCCTTCTTGCTTTCCTGCCTCCCTGCTTACCTGCCTGTTTACCTGCCTGCCTGACTGCCTGCCTTTATTCTTTCCTTCCTTCCTTTCCAATACTGGGGTTTGAACTCAGGGCTTTGAACTTGCTTGGGCTGCTTGCTCAACTGAGGCTCTATCACTTGAGTCACACCTCCAGCTAGTTTTTTGCTGGTTATTTTGGAGATGGAATCTTGAGGACTTTTCTGCCTGAGCCAGCTTCAAATCAATGTCCTCCATATCTTAGCCTCCTGAGTAGCTAGGGATGATAGGTATAAGCCAGTGGCACCTGGCTTGCTCTTATTCTTAATTTCCATTGCCTTTCTGCATGGAGCCATGTATATCCTGAAGCCTGATGATCCAATTTATCTTTACAAAGGCTGCAGTTTCTTTTTTTTTTTTCTTTTTTTTTGGGTCCGGTCGTGGGGCCTGAACTCTGGGCCTGGGCGCTGTCCCTCAGCTCTTCAGCTCAAGGCTAGCACTCTACCACTTGAGCCACAGCGCCACTTCCGGCTTTTTTCTTTTTGCTTATGTGGTGCTGGGGAATCGAACCCAGGGCCTCAGGCATGCAAGGCAAGCGCTCTACCACTGAGCCACCTTCCCAGCCCCAGAGGCTGCAGTTTCTGTGTCCTCAGCAATGAGTCTTTCTTCCTTCCCTCTTGGGTCTTTGTTATACCCGTTTGGTGAATGTTTGGCCCCTTTGAGGACTGGATTTTCTAAGCTAGACCAAAAAAGAGGAAACAAAGCAACTGCCTTCTCTCATAGCACAGGAGGTAGTAGTGGAAAGCACCGTTGTTTGGGAAGTCAAGGAATGAGCAACAGCCAGCCCTTCTATACTTACACCACCATCTGCCCTCCTTTTCTCTCCTATCCTCGTTAGCTGATACCCTAGTTGCAGGGTAGAGGAGAGAGAACACCAGGCCACTGTAGCTTTTGTAGTCATATGTTTGCAGTTGAAGAAGAGAACTAAGGTGGAGGCTGTGCTTCCTTTATAAGAGCTAGTATCTTCAGTTCAGTTCTGTGTGTGTGTGTGTGTGTGTGTGTGCACGTGCGCATATGTGTGTACTTGCACGCATATTAAGGATAAAACCCACAGTCTTCTGCATGCTGAGCACATGCTTTACCACTGAGCTACAAACCCAGCCCCTCAGTTTGATTCTTGGTAATAAAAGATAACTCCCTTTTTGCTTGCTGCCTCCAGGCCCCAGGACGTTTCTCAGTTTGGTTGTTTTTTGTTTGTTTGTTTTGGGGGGATTGTTTTTTCACTGCTTACTACACTCAAAATTCAGGTTGATTTTTGTTTTCTCAAGTTAAGTGGTATTGGCTAGGATACAGTAAAGAAATTGTAGAGAAATTGGATTTCACAAGAGAGTTTTTGAATGATATCTCTTTGGACTACCCTAAAAAATGAAGTTGTGTGTGTGTGTGTGTCCAGCCATGGGCACATCTGTAAATACTCCTGGTTAGTGGGTGGGTGGCTTAGGAAAGGCTTGCTTTATGCCTCTGCATTGCTGCTGCAATGGGACTGCAGAAACTTCCAAGTATACTAAGGCATTAAGCTCTATTTTCAAATGGCCTCGTGCGGTGCTTATTAATTACTGTGGTTACAGTAATACATACACTAGGCGTGGGAGAATTGTGAGGGAGGGCAACTTGGAAAATGACTTTACTGTGATATTTGGGAATAACAGCATGAACTACCTTGCTTAAGTGAGAGACACTTTCTCTGGTGATACTTCAGAGTCCTTCAGTGGAATCTTGCTTCCTCAGTCCAGTTCACCCACTACTTGGTCACCTCAGTAGGAAATGTTAAACATCTAGATGTATGGGGATATGGGACATAGAGAAGCACTTCTGTAATCCCTTGCAGCCCTGGTGGGGCTAGGAAAAGGTATTTAGCTTGCCAGTGGTAGAGGTAACCTTCTAGACTGAAGTATGTCCATATCTCTTCAGGAACCTTCCCTGTACACTGTCAAAGCCATCCTGATTCTGGACAATGATGGAGATCGACTTTTTGCCAAGGTGAGATTCCATTTCAAGTTAATGTAGAAGCAAGACAAAGATATTCTTGAATTTGAATCTTGGGATTGACTCTGTTAACCTATATTATATGTTTTTTTTATTTTAATTTTTATTTTTTGTGAACATACTGTACAGAGGGGTTACAATTACATAGGCAAGATAATGAATACATTTCTTATCAAGCATTGCAGCCTCCTCCTTTGTTTACCCTTCCCATCCCTTCCCAGCCTCCCCCCTGTATGTTTTTTGTTTGTTTGTATGTTTGTTATCCCTGGTCCTGGGGCTTGAACTCTGGGCTTGGGTGCTATCCCTCAGCTCTTCAGCTCAAGGCTAGCGCTCTACCACTTGAGCTACAGCACCATTTATGGTTTTCTGGTGGTTTATTGGAGATAAGAGTCTCATGGACTTTCCTGCCTGGGCTGGCTTTGAACCATGATCCTCAGATTTCAGCCTCCTGAGTAGCTAGGATTACAGGTGTGAGCCACTGGTGCCAGGCTATATGTTTTGTTTTAATTTATTTTTGTTGTTGTTATTTGTTTGTGTGCTGGTGCTAAGGCTTGAACTCAGGGCCTGGGCACTGTCCTTGAGCTTTTGTGCTCAAGGCTACCACTTGTTCTACCACAGCTCCACTTCCAGGTTTTGTTTTTTTTTCCCTGCCAGTCCTGGGGCTTAAACTCTGGGCCTGGGTGCTGCCCCTGAGCTCCTTTTGCTCAAGGCTAGCACTTGAGCCACAGCATACTTCTAGCTCTTTCTGTGATTAATTGTAGTTAAGAGTCTCATGGACTTTCCTGTCTAGGCTGGCTTTGAACCACGATCCTCAGATCTCAGCCTCCTGAGTAGCTAGGATTATAGGTGTGAGCCACTGGTGTCCAGCTCACTTCCACTTTTTTGGTGGTTAATTGGAGATAAGTCAAATGGATTTTTCCTGCCAGGCTGGCTATAAACCAGGATTCTCAGATCTCAGCCTTCTAGGTAGCTAGAATTAATTACAGGTATGAGCCACTAGTGCCTGGCTTAATCTGTATTATTTGACAGTATAATTTTGAGAAGTCTTCTGTCTTGTCTCAACTACTCCAGTAAAACCTAAACTTTCTTCTGTCCCTTAGTTGTGCTATTTCCCTACTTGCTGTCCTCAGACTTTGATCTTTGTTACTTTCTTCAAAGCAGGGCAAAGCTTGAGAACCTTGGCTCCTGAACAAAGCAGTACGTAGATGCTAGAAGTCTGCTGAGTCCTTCACTCTGTCCCTTTCTCTTGTCACTCTGAGTTTCTCCAGAGAATTCTCAAGCAGTGCTAGGGGCCCAGTCTGACATCACCAAGCTTCTTACCCCTTCACTCCCCCAGTGTGGCATAGAAATACCACACTAAATCTATTGAAAGGGAGTAGAAAGGACACCCCTCTCCTTCCTCTATAGTTCCTTGGTCCCCCCACCCCCACCCCCCAGTAGAAATTTCTTCTGTCCCTGGTGTATTAACTCTGGGCAAGTATAGCATAAATCAGTCAGCAGGTAGAGATTAGTTTAGAATTCACCAGCTGTTCCTCCCTGTAATTGGATGTAACTATGCAGGACACCTTTTGAAACAGTTATCCAGTTACTAAATGCCAGACCTGTCATAGGTCTTCAGCTGACTGCGACGGATTAGCCCCTAAAGAGCAGAACGATTTAGCAGCCTACATCTCCATCCCCTTGCAAGGGAGCGCTTGGGAAGTGGGCTCAGCAGCGTGAGAGACTGCCCCCTGCTTCTTTCAGTTTGCAAAAAGGAAAGCTCAGGTCGTAGAGACTCCGGGGCAGAATTTGCCTTGCTTTTGAAGAGACTCAGTGAATGAGGAACGGGTCTTCCTGCAGTGAGGGAAGGTCTGAGGAAGTGCTCTGTCCTGCAAGTGTTTCTTGTTTTCCCTGGCACTGCCCTCACAAGGGGACATTCTTGGAGGAGACAGTCTGGGAGGAGCTTACCCAGAATGTAGACAGGAGCAGAGCCTCCTCCGATGGCTGAAGTCTCTGTGCTCAGATAGCCTTAGAAATGAGAGGGTGGGAGCCAGGAACCAGTGGCTCACCTTTGGAATCCTTGTTATTCAGGAGGCTGAGAGCTGAGAATCACAGTTCAAAGTCAGCTTGGGCAGAAAACTCTGTGACACTTATCTCTAATTAACTACCAAAAAGCTGAAAGTGGAGCTGTGGCTCAAGTGGTAGAGTGCTAACCTTGAGTGAGAAAGCTGAGGGACATTCAAGCATTCAAGCCCTAGTACTAGCAGGAAGAAAGAGGTGGGATGGGGAAGGGAGAGAGAGAGAGGAAGGAGAGAAGGAAGGAAGGAAGGAAGGAAGAAAGGAAGGAAGGAAGGAAGGAAGGAAAAGAAGTAGAGTTGCTTATGATCCTTTAATTTTTTTTTTTTTAATATTCAGTGAGTCACTGCTCATTCCAGCCTCTTCAGCCCTTCCTTCTCCAGGTCAATATTTCTCCCTTGTCCCATGCCTTGAAAGAGAAATCCAAGATCAGGGCACAACAAAGCAACTAATCATTCTGGACTCCCAGCTCTAATGACACGACCCTGTCTCCTTTCTCTCTGACCAGTACTATGACGACACCTACCCTAGTGTCAAGGAGCAAAAGGCCTTTGAGAAGAACATCTTCAACAAGACCCATCGGACTGACAGTAGGTCATTTTACTTTCACTCCCACCCCACCCGCCTGTGCTGGGGGAAACCATAGAGGAAAGGGGGTGACTACAGAAAAAGACAAAATGACTCTGCCTCCTTCTTTTTTCCTCCTCCCCTCATATAATAAACTCTTCAGAAATGTAATGGGGAGGTGAGTGTACCTCACGCGGGAATACCGTGCTGGAAGGTTGGCTGTTAGCTACCTGTCTAGTCCCTGGATTTATGAGCCTCACTTGACAAATTTAACTGCAGCTCTGCTTATTGTACCGCATCCATTAGGGCAGGTAAATGGAAGTCTGTAAAGGTGACCGCTCTGCATTTTTACCTCCCAAGGATCGACTAGTATCCTGTCTCAGTACAAGGAGGGAAATGTGTACCCGGTAGGAGGGAAAGGTAGAGGAAAAGATACATTTAAGATATCCCCCCAACATACACCAAGTTTGTACTTTGCTTTTCTGCTAAGACCCGAAATGACTAGGTCCTCGTCAGTCTTTGTAGGTTATCAAAGCCTGCTAACTCCTTGTCTTTACGTCCTCTTTTTAGGCTACTCTCACCATTTCTGCCTTCCCCCCAGGTGAAATCGCCCTCTTGGAAGGCCTGACAGTAGTCTATAAAAGCAGCATTGATCTCTATTTCTATGTGATTGGCAGCTCCTATGAAAATGAGGTGAGACTTCCCACCCCACTTTGCTCTCTCCGATCCTACTTCCTAAACCACAGGCAGGACATAGAGACTGGTTTTGGGTTTCAGAGATCCACAGCTACTGCCTTCAGAGAGGGTTTATAAAGTGGTGGGAGATGACCACCAGCCTCATAAATGTGGCCCAGCAAATGAATTAGCCTAGAAAGGAGCTTTTTCTCAGGTCTATTTCTTATCTCTATAGAGGAGACACATATATATTTTTAACACTTTTCCTTGTATAGTGGGGTTTTCTTTGTGTTGGTGTTGAGGCTTGAACTCAGGGCCTGGGCACTGTCCCTTCATTCTTTCCCTCAACGCTGGTGCTCTACTACTTGAGCTACAGCTCCACTTCCAGCTTTTTGGTGGTTAATTGGAGATAAGAGTTTCAAAATCCAGGCTGGTTTTGAACTATGATCCTCAGATTTCAGCCTTCTGAGTAGCTAGGATTACAGGCATGAGCCACTAGCACCTGCACAGTATTTTTCCCCCCTTCTTCTTGGTGCTTGAACTCTATCACTTGAGCCATAGTGCCACTTCTGGCTTTTTCTGATAGTTTATTGGAGATAAGAGTCTCATGGACTTTTCTGCCTGGGCTGGCTTCAAACTACAATCCTCAGATCTCAGCCTCTTGAGTAGGTAGGATTACAGGTGTGAGCCATCAGAGCCTGGCTGCAGTTTTTTTTTTGTTTTTTAATTTATTATTATTAATTTTTTTATGCCAGTCATGGGGCCTGAACTCTGGGCCTAGGCACTGTCCCTCAGCTCTTCAGCTCAAGGCTAGGGATCTACCACTTGCACCACTTCTGGCTTTTTCTGCTTATGTGGTGCTGAGGAATCGAACCCAGGGCCTCATGTATGCAAGGTAAGCACTCTACCACCGAGCCACCTTCCCAACCTTTAAATTTGATTGTAAAGGTAATGCACAGAGAGTTATAGTTACATAGGTAAGGTAAGGAATACATTTTTGTTTTGTTTTGCCAATCCTGGGGCTTGAACACAGGGCCTGGACATTGTCCTGAGCCTCTCTGTGCTCAAGACTAGCACTCTACTATTTGAGCCACTGTGTCACTTCCAGCTTTTTCTTTATGTGGTACTGAGGAATCCAACACAAGGCTTCATGATTGCTAGGCAAGTACTCTACCACTAAGCCATATTCCAAGCTTTTCTTTTCCCATTTTTTGAACTCTGGGGCCTGGGCACTGTCCCTCAGCTCTTCAGCTCAAGGCGAGTACTCTACCACTTAAGCCACTTCTGGTTTTCTGGTGGTTAATTGGAGATAAGTCTCACAGATGTTCCTGCCTGCACTGGCTTTGAACCTTGATCCTCAGATCTCAGCCTCCTGAGTAGCTAGGATTACAGGCATGAGCCACCAGCGCCCAGCTTCTAGTTTCCATTTCTTATAGTTCATTTCTATAAGCATCATTTTATATGGTCATATACACATAGTTCCTGAGCCATTGTGATCCTCTCCCAAGAATATCCTCCTTTGTTCTCACTGTGCAGTGCTTAGAGTGCTGTTTAATAACTCAGGTCCAAGTGTAATTATTTGTCTTTTACTATCCATTGAATTAACTTGTAGGTTTATAGACATATTCTAGTAATTACAGATGAGGGAAACCATGCAGTCTATGTTTCTTTGATTCTTGCTTACTTCGCTTAATACAGTTTTTTCCAAGTCTTTCTATTTCCTAACAAATGGGGCAATATCATTCTGATGGGAGCATAGAATTCCATCATTTTTTCATTCCATTTTCTTGATCCATTGGTCCACCGAGGAACATCTAGGTTGATTCCATATGTTGGCTATGGTAAACAGTGCTGCAGTGAATATGGTTGTTCTGGTGGCTTTAGTGTTTCCTTGTTTGTGGTCAATGGATAGATGTCCAGGAATGGGATTGCTGGGTCTAGGGAAGCTCTATATTTAGTCTTTTAAGGAACCTCCATATTACTTTCCAGAGTGGTTGAACAAGTTTACATCCACCAACAGTGTAGTAGTGTTCCCTTTTGGTCACATCACTGCCATCATCTGTTATTGTTAATTTCTTGATAATGACCATTCCAACTGGAGTGAGGTGGACTCTCAGAGTTGTTTTGATTTGTATTTCTTTCTTTCTTTTTTTTTTTTGGGTCCGGTTGTGGGGCCTGAACTCTGGGCCTGGGCGCTGTCCCTCAGCTCTTCAGCTCAAAGCTAGCACTCTACCACTTGAGCTACAGCGCCACTTCCGGCTTTTTTCTTTTTGCTTATGTGGTGCTGGGGAATCGAACCCAGGGCCTTGAGCATGCAAGGCAAGCGCTCTACCACTGA